ATACTTTTACTAAGTATATGGAAGGGGACGAATTCCAAAGAACCGTTGTAGAAGAAATATGATAAGAAAAATCTGAAGAATTACTGCTTTATTTGCTTACTGAATTATTAACTTCATGAGACTATCGAGAAATAGCAGCCTGAGATCCCAGACAGTTGTAGTATAATGGATAGCTTTTACGTGGGTACCAAGCGGGTAATGGCGCCCATTTCGGAGATTGGGGCCTGTACGCGCATGTAGATTAAGTTCCCAAAGTTTCAGTTCGGTGGCTTTGTGGGTCTTGAGATAAAAAAGCATGAGAGACGCGCACACGGACACGAAGACACACAGACATACACACACACACACACACACAGAAACAACCCCTCGTCAATATGCGTTTTCTGCATTGCATTAGCTGCAAAAAACGCATAAAAAGATGGTCGTAGCGACGATCAAAATACTTGCCTATAAAGCGTTGCAGCGGGAAAGTCCATTGCTTTTTAAATAATCTGTGTTGATGTTTTGCATTTTAAGAATGTGTAACAGCTGTTCGTTCTGTGACAACATTCTCTGCAATGGACAGTTTTCGTGTGCCACGTGATTCGGAATTTGTGGAATCGCTAACGCAATGTTTCACGGACCAGGCAAACAGCGGTAAAATTTTTTTTGAGAAAAAATTAGAAAACAAAAAATGAACGTAGATCATAGAAAATGCGATGAATTCCGTTCAGTCGCCGATAAGAAGTGCAATAATTTGCTGTTCCAATTTCAGAAATTTCGGAATACTTTAGTTTTTTAAAGTTTTTTTGTTGCACACTTCACATCAGTTTAGCACATAATTTCATTTCCTGTTCATTTCTGAATTAACTGTTTTTATACAACTCAGCGTAAACCCACAAATAAATCCTTTCGCCTCATGCTTGACCTTTGCAACATGTAATTAACAATGCGTTTTTGTGGCTTTAGGATTTTGACATATTTGAAAAATACCACTGAATAGCTTGAATTCTACAGTCTTCAGTATCATCGTTTGCAGGGAAGACAATC